ATAATCTGTCAGTGGCATTTTTTAAAAAAGTGAACTGAGGGCGAAATGCTTGTTTGTTGGATAAACATGGTATTACAATGGGGACACCTACTGGTGACAACTACCCATTGCAGGATGCTGGTCGTAGGTTCGCAGAATGAAGGAATTTAGAAGGAACCCTCCCCCCTAACATTTTTGTATGTCCAAATAGCTCCACAATTTCAGCATTATTCTAACAATGTGAAGGTTGTGGGTTCAATCAGCAGGGACCCCCCCCCTCCCCCATTAAACAAAAAATGTAACCCTTCCCTCTACTGTAAGCTGCTTTGGACAAACACATCAGATAAATGTATAATCGGGGGGTTTTCTTTAAATGCATCCATTTCCTGACGACAGAATATATTTTAACACCATCAGGGGCATTGTTATCATTTGGCAATACATCCCGGAGCACATTCCGTCAACGAGTTAAACATCAATCTTTGAGAAATATATGCTCAAATGGACTGACCACAGAACCAGACAGATGGAAAGTTTTTTTTCCTTCTACAGTCAGCCTCGTGCCACATTCTATTCCACAGGGTTTTTCCTTTAAAGTGTCCTTTGTGAGCTCAGCTCACAGTTGGGTCTGTCCAAGTACCGCAGTGTTTGCTCAAAGAGACAGCGGGCTGCATGAAACAGGGAGTCTTTGCTTCTGCTGATGCAAACGACGTGCTGGGGGAAAACCCCCTGTGAAAATTAGAAGGACGGTTCGAACCCAAAGGCATATTAACCAAATAAAGCTGTGCAATAGAACCATACTCAATGTCAGAGTTTGGCCGGCCTCGCGGCCGTTCCCTGAAAAAGGGCTTGGTGTTAAATTCAGTGCCCTCGTCTCTGCCAACAATAAAGTTTTTGTTATATATTCAAAAAGCCAATTAACAGGATGGGCCCTGGGTGAACTTATTTCGATCTGGTCATTCTGGTCTACAATACCTGGCATCTGCCAGAGGTATAGCGACAGGACAGGCAAGGCAGACAGCTGCCTGGGGCCCCTGAGCTGTAAGGGGGCCCCAGAGGGCGGCTGGTTACATAGCACATTGCAACGACAAAATCTGTGGTATTTGTGTATTCTGTTTTTCACAAAAAGTGAAAATATACCACTGGTTCTTCTTGTTGATAGGCTGCTGCTAATTTAGCTTTCATGCTGAAATGATTGCAATGCCGGGGGAGGGTCAGTTGGAGGGACCTAATGGAGTATTTTGCCCCCAGAGTCTCTGGAATCACCTCTGGCATTAGCACACATGAAGTGAAACTTTGAGGTCATCTTTGGATTACAGGACCATTTATATCTGTAACACAATGTGTATTTATCCTTTAAAAAAGAAAAATCTAGCATTATTCAAGTTTAATTTAGTGTACATTTGCCATATAAATGTCCACACCGTTCTTCCACCCTCACAGTGGAAAACTCATTTTTTAATGGGGTGGGAGGCGTCCTAAACTGGATGACTGATGACAGCAAGTGCCTTGAAAATGATGGGTTTTTCTGGTTCATATTAGCGTATTAATGCACTCTCGCAATCCCTGGTTGATAGACGTGTTTTGATCTTTGGATTTTTATTACTCAGCCGTGTTTTACAGTAGGTTCACAGCTTTTACACGAATGTCCTACACGCTCTTGTGAACGTAACTTCTTCAAAGGACATATTATAAGCCAGTGGTGGGCAATTTCAGAGCTTGGCGGTTTTGTTCAATATTCTGTTGCTCCTGACCTGGTGCGATGTTCATGGTTCATTCATGGTTTTCATTATTTTGAAATTAATGAAAAAAAGTGAAATCTGTCATAAGGACTTAATAAAGTACTAGGAAGAAGTGGGTAGCTAGATGCTCTGTTATTCAGATTGATATCTCTGTGAAAAAATGTAACTAAAATACTTTGCCAACAGACAGCAAGAATTTAGTAATGACATTAATGGGTCTGGTGGGATGTACTCAGAACCCACCATCCAGTGACCAGAGTGTTCTCTCGATGTTCAGTATCTGACTTGGACATTGACGCCTATAGAATAAGCTGCTGTATGGTGCTCCAGACTGGGAAGGCATCTCGTATATCACCTGTCTTGGGATGGCATCGAATCACAAAAACATTGCAGGCCCTCACATTACACTCTGTAATACTCTGGGGCTCGAGTCCCCCAGAGGACACGGGCTTTGGGTCCCAGTGTGAGAGGGGTTCATGTCCCCTTGCATGAGGACCAAAGAGGGTGATCTAAAGTCTGTGGTCTATCGAGAATGATGGCGGTTGAAGTCCCATGTTTTGGTGGCAGTTTATTATCGTCCTTAATTATTTTTTAAAACTGCTTCTGTTTTTATTTCTTTCTGTGCTTATTGTTATGCTTATTTAATTCCTCTCTTTTAAATGTCTGAAAAGCACTTTGTAAACACTGTGGTTAAAACAGTGCTATATAAAGATTTATTGTTATGTTCTTATTGATTAATTGATTCCCAGGCCACTGAAATACAAATCAGTTACAATTAGCTATATGCCATGTTACCCATATCACTGGTAAATAAGGATTTTATAGCAATTACTAATACTGGCAGTGGATGTCAAAACATCTGTATTGTATATATTTTTTCTACATCAGCTGTGTTACATATTAACACATGTGGGTCTAACAGCTGCATAACCCAGCATATGTTTCATCCAATGCCATTTACACTTTTATGATTTGACACACCTTGACTTGGATTTGTTGAGTTTGAGGCGCCTTTCTTTAGCCTAGAGCAGTGAGGCCTCTTCTGAGGCTTTACCCAATAGCCTAATCTAGAATTCCAGTTATAGCTTTACTATCAACACACATAATATAAACGTGTACATTTACAAATGTCACTTTTGCAACATTCTCTTTGTTTGGCAACTGAAACTAACATTTAAAATGTAAACTTCAAACTCGCAAGCGCATAGTGAAGCAAAATATCATTCCCATTCAAATGTGAATTTTTTAAGGAACGTGCATCGTTTCAGCCATCCAGACCTGCTTCAGCTGCTAATCATGGGAAGCGCCGCATGAGTGTGGAAGCGATCGCAGGAAGCACGGGACAGGGGAGCGCCCTGGATGTGATGGCCAGGAATTACAGGACATCCACACACTCATACTATGGGCGATTTACAGATGCCAGGCGACAATCATTAATCAATTACGATACCAAAAAAATGATACCAGCATGCTTTTTTAAATTATTACTAGTCGTTTTATATTAAAATCTGTTTTAAAATCCCTGAAATCTGCTATATGTATGACACTTCCAACGATCAGTGTGGTAATGCTTATGAGGAAAGATACAAATATAGATACAAAGATAAAAAATAATCAAAATAACAATGTGAGACTGAATTAGATACTTCAGATATTTATATATTTATAACAGATCATTTACAATATAATGACTTAATGAATGAATGAATGAATGAATGAACGTATACTATGCCCGTAAAGCTGAATAAAATCCGTTTTTAATGTCAGCCCTGTGATGAATTATTTTAACTATATGTTTCTACTGGGAAATGTCTTGAGGCGTGGGTGATACAAGAAAATTGAAGTACTGCATGCCCACGTCCGTTTAATCTGCTTTCCGTTACTGTACACCGATATTCAAAGCCCAACAAAAAGACATTTTATTCCTAAAAACGAACTATTTCGAACCTGGTTGGCCGATGCGAATTAAATATTCGTTTAATGAAATATTTTATTCGATGTTTAACATCACAGATTTCTGTCGCATCATATAACCATTTTAGAGTAATTTTATATAAAAATGTGATATTTATTTAACAGTTCGCATGCCATGGGCGGCAGGACACGGAGACGAGGTCGGACAGTAACCTGCTTTGATACCATTATACCTGCTGTATAATTCAATTACTCCCGTCTAGTCATATCCTTGTTGACCTCGATTGCCGCTGAACTGCTGTTGTTTTTAAGGGCTTCTAAATCCTATTATCGACAGCAGCTCATTACAAAGGAGGTTGCATTTATTTGAGCAACCTACAATCTTTCTAAGCACAAATAAATCTTAAACAAGAATAAGATTATATATTCGCAGTTTTAAACCAATAAATGCTGTACAATTTATATCATTACAGCGTAACTGCGATTGTATGTGGTTCTAATACAAAATGTTTAAATCGGGCAATGAAATTTAAGGACACTAGATGGCAACACTTGACCATCAGAGAATTAAAAACGTCGAATACAAACAATATATAGTTCTAATAGTAGCTTCGCTCTCTTCTTTGAAAAGAATAATGTAAAATAACATCTATACTCCTAGTCTTAGTACCCGTGTCCTTTAATTGTTAAACTACTATTTTAATTACTACTTTTTGCATTTAATTGAATGTAATATGAATTAGGAAAAGAATTAACGATGTCTATAAGTATCTTCATTTTTTGTCATGAAATCTAGCTATACTGTATATTGCCTATTTTAATCAATTCCAGTCTTCTGATTTTGGTATATTTCATTATTAAATTCATTTATTTAATGATGTGCATAAACTTGTTCATTGGGGGTTCGGAATCACAGTTCCCTTTAACTTTAAATAACTGTAATTTAGTCCTTTCGTTTAGCAATTTTTTATTATTATTTTAAGTAGTACATCTATTTAAAACACTTCCAATACATCATAATCCAGAAACAGTTTAGAATGAAGCGGGGTTACTCCAGGCGCACGGTAGAAACTGACGCACATTATTAACGAAGACCTACTTTCCGTTTCTGAGAATAAGGGTTAACGGTGCCGTACTTAAGACATCTACCTGCTACCCACTTACCATCTTATTAGTCGCATATTAGTTTGATTGACATTCTTATCAACAACAGCCGGACAGAGTTCAGGTTTACGGCACAATAGAAATACAGTAAGAGGCGGGACTTTGCCGAAATAGCCAATAGCGTGCGAGGTGGGCGGGAGTTGAGCAGACTGGGGCTTTGTTGTAAGTTACGAAGAAGCAGTCTTAATGACTGAAGTTTCTTCTGCGTTATACAGCTAGAGGCTGCGTGGATGCACGATTGGCGCTAATAACCCGAAACCTCGCTCCGCCTGTACCACTTAATTTTGTCTCCAATTTATTTTAGAGTTTCAACTAAACTTCGCGAAATATTAGTCCATCCAGAAATTAAGTTCTTCATTTATTTATCTAAACAACATTATTTTGTATTTGCATTTTTTTGTTTGAAATGGCAGTTTTGTTATAACAAGAAAGTTTCACGCAGAGATGCATTCTGCTGCTCCGGGAAAGTTTGAAGAATCACTTTGACAATCAGAGGGATTGTATTGCGGCGCTCGCAACTTGAATGATGCACGGAATTATTCATTTGCTGATTTTTGCAGCGTGAACAATTTAAATCAAGAAGAAGAAAGAAAATAGAAGAAATAATTTCCCCTAAACTAAAAAGGATTATTTCTTTTAACAATCAGAATTATGCCGGGATTCATACTTAAAGTCGCTGGATCATGAATATTGCTGCAAACGTTTGTTAAAGGAATCAAAGTTTAATGCATAAGAGACAAGCAGATTGTCATACAAAGCTGGACTGGGATTTTGACCATGGCGCTTTCAGGTAGGGCTTTGAATCGATTTTATTTAATTCTGCTGATGCTGTGGACTTTATGGGAGCGATCTTCATCCAGCCAAGTTCGTCAGGAGTTTCAGGTGCTGGAAGAGCAGCCCGTGGGCACCTACGTGGGCACGATAGAAACAAAGCCGAGCTTCACCTACCGATTCAGCGAAAATCACAAACTTTTTGCGATCAACGGCACTACTGGCATCATTTATACAACGTCAGTGATTGACAGAGAAGTTTTGCAGAGTAATATAATTAATGTTGTGGTGCTCTCCAGTCAACCGACATATCCAACAGAAGTCAGGATTGTAGTTATGGATATAAATGACAACTTGCCCGTTTTTCCAGACGCATCTATAGTGGTGTCATTTAAGGAGGATGCTAGCAGCGGCAGACAAGTGATTTTAGATACAGCAACCGATTCCGACATTGGGAGTAACGGAGTTGATCATACTACTTACAAAATTGTGAATGGTAATGATCAGGGGAAGTTTCGTTTGGATATTACAGTCAATCCGAGTGGAGAAGGAGCGTTCCTGCACTTGGTTTCAACGGGCGGTTTAGACAGGGAGCTGACTCCTTTTTATCAGCTCCTAATTGAGGTGGAAGACAAAGGGGACCCCAAAAGGTTTGGCTACCTTCAAGTGAATGTGACAATTCAAGATATAAATGACAACCCACCTATATTTGACGAGGACCACTACCAAGCCACTGTTTTTGAAGATGCAGAAGTTGGTTCTAGTGTATTACAAATAACAGCAAAAGACCAGGATGAGGGAACCAATGCGGATATCAGGTACTTTTTAGATGAGGGAACCCCTTTCCAAATTGACCCTGAAGCAGGTACAATTATTATCAAAGAAACTTTAGATTTTGAGACCAAGAAGGAGTATTCATTAACTATTCATGCTGTGGATGGTGGGGTCCCTTCTCTCTCTGGTAGGTCAGAGGCAACCATAAAACTTTTGGATGTTAATGACAATGACCCTGTGGTGAAGTTCAGATATTTCCCAACAAGCTCCAAATTTGCCTCTGTTGATGAAAATGCTCCAATTGGGACAGTCGTAGCTTTACTGACAGTCTCAGATTCAGATTCCCCGTTAGCTAATGGCAACATATCGGTCTCAATTTTAGGGGGGAATGAGCAAAGACATTTTGAAGTTCATACGTCTCCAGTCCCAAATCTTAGTTTGATTAAAGTGGCCAGCGTTTTAGACAGAGAACGAATTTCTTCCTATAACCTGACTGTTTCCGTGTCTGACAACGGAAAGCCTATGGCAAGGTCTTCTTTTGCTAGTTTGGTCATTTTTGTGAATGATATCAATGACCACCCGCCCATATTCCAGGAAGCTCTGTACAGGGTTGACATCAGTGAGGACGTTCCAAAAGGCAGCTACATTAAAGGGGTCTCAGCAACAGATGGTGACTCTGGGCAGAATGCCAACCTGCGCTACTCTCTAGTGTCTGGAAACAGTCTGGGCTGGTTTGCCATCAGTGAGAACAGCGGTCTGGTCACTAGCGCCGCTCTACTGGACAGGGAGGTTGCGTCAGAGATTGTGCTGAATATCAGTGCCAAAGACCAAGGAGTACAGCCCAGAATCTCCTATACAACGCTGATTGTGAACATAACGGATGTCAATGATCAAGTCCCCACGTTCGCTCAGAGCACCTATCATGTTTCTGTGGTGGAGCATTGCCCAGCTGGCACCGACCTCATGGCACTGTCAGCTACTGACAACGACCTGGGAGCCAATGGGACTGTGAGGTTCTCCTTTGACCCTGAGACCCCGCCCAGTGTGCTGGATTTGTTCCGCCTTGATACCGTCTCTGGCAGGCTGAGTACTGCCGCTGAACTGGACAGAGAAGTACAAGAAACATATCTGCTCCACATCCACGCGACGGATTCTGGCTCGCCGCCACTTAATTCTGTTGGCAAAGTGAACATAACGCTGAAAGATATTAACGACAACCGGCCTGTTTTCTACCCCCTGCAGTACTTTGCCAACATTAAAGAAAACGAACCTCCTGGCTCTTATGTCACTACTGTGTCGGCCACGGACCCTGATTTGGGTAGGAATGGCACCGTAAAGTACATGATCACAGCCGGGGACAATTTTAGGTTTCATGTTAGCAGTAGCACGGGTAAGATCACAACGTTGGTTTCGCTAGACAGGGAGGAAAAGACAGCTTACCAGTTGCAGGTGACTGCAAGTGATGGTGGCAACCTTCGCTCTCGTACCCCGGCCATTGTCACCATAACAGTGATAGACACCCAGGACAACCCCCCTTCCTTCAGCCAGAGTGTCTACAGTTTTGTGATATTTGAAAATGTAGCTGTAGACACGGTAATCGGTACCGTGTCTGCATCCACAGTTGATCTGAATACCAATATCACCTACTTAATTTCCTCTGGGGATCAGCGGGGCCTGTTCAGTATCAATAGTGTTACTGGTCAGATCACCGCCTCCAGTCTGATAGACAGGGAGGAGCAATCATTTTACCAACTTAAAGTTATAGCGAAAGGTGGGGAGGTAACAGGCCAGGCTCTTGTTAACATAACAGTTAAGGATTTAAATGACAACGCCCCGCATTTTGCCCACGTTGTTGAACATGTCAGCACTGTGGAAAATTGGGGCACTGGGCATCACATATTCCAGGCAAAGGCTGTGGACCCGGATGAGGGCTCCAATGGTATGGTGATGTATAGCCTCCGGCAGAACCCAAAAGGCCTTTTCCACATACACGAGAAGCGTGGTCTCATCACCTTAACGGGGCCTATGGAAGTATCCACAAGTTCATATCAGGTGGAGGTGTTGGCATCTGACATGGGGGTTCCTCAGCGTACCTCTACCCTGATTGTGACAGTCAGTGTGTACGATGTCAATGACAATGCCCCAGTGTTCCATCAGCTTTCTTATGAGGTCACTATTCTTGAATCAGAACCTGTGAATAGTAGATTCTTTCAAGTGGACGCCACTGACAAAGACTCTGGTCTGAATGGGGAGATCGTGTACGACATAATTGGTGGAAATGATGGGGATGTTTTTGGCATTTTTCCCGATGGGCAGTTGTATATCAAGGATAAGTTAGACAGAGAGGTGCAAGACAGGTATGACCTGCTGGTAGTGGCTGCAGACAGGGCAGTGGAGCCACTTACTGCCACTGTCAATGTCACGGTCATCTTGGATGATGTGAATGATAACCGGCCATTGTTTAACAGTACAAATTATGTGTTCTATTTTGAAGAGGAGCAGAAAAGGGGGTCCGTAGTGGGGAGGGTCTTTGCAGAGGACAAAGATTATGGGCCAAATAGTGAGGTCAGATATTCCTTTGAGACACCGCAGCCAAACTTCGAACTGAACGCCATTACCGGGGAGCTGACCAGCACGCTGCAGCTGGACCGAGAATCGCTGATGAGGCAGAGAGGAGCTGCTGTGTTCAGTTTCACTGTCGTTTCCTCAGATCAAGGATTGCCCAAGGCATTGAAAGACCAGGCCAAAGTACAAGTTTATATCGGAGACATCAATGACAACCCACCCAAATTCACTAAAGACATTTACCTTGCATCTATTTCTGAGTCTGCTCAAAACATGACACAGCTTCTGAGGGTGTCTGCCTCAGATGTTGATGAGAATGACAATGGACTAGTCCGCTACTATATTAAGGAAGGAAATGAGGAGAAACAGTTCATGATCGACAACAACAATGGCCAGATCACTCTAGTGGGAAAACTTGACTATGAAGCTACGTCATCCTATTCCCTCAAAATCATAGCAGTCGATTCGGGACTTGTGCCACTTTCTTCCTCATGCATGTTAAGTATCAGCATTATGGATGAGAATGACAACTCCCCTTCTTTCCCTAAAGCTGCTCTGAGTGTCGATGTTTTGGAGAATATGAGGGTTGGAGAGCTGGTGGTATCTGTGACTGCCACCGACTCAGACGCAGGGGACAATGCTGAGGTGACTTACAGCATTGCTGCGACAAACAACCACGGCACCTTCAGCATCAGCCCGTTCACTGGGAGTATCTTTCTTGTGAAGAAGCTGGATTTTGAAACTCAGTCCCTATATAAATTAAACGTTACTGCAAAGGACAATGGGAGACCCCCAAGATTCTCATCGATTCCAGTGACTATTCATGTCAGAGACTTTAATGATAATCCTCCAAGTTTTGCCCCTGGAGATATTTTTAAGTCTATTCCTGAGAACCTTCCAGTCACTACCTCGATAATGACCATAATTGCGCATGACACAGATGCAGACATCAATGGACAACTGGAGTATTCTATCATTAAACAGACACCAAGAGGAAACCACTTCATCATTGATTCTGTCACAGGGGTGATATACACAAATAAGGATATTGATAGGGAATTCTCCAATCTCTTTGAACTTACAGTGAAAGCAACAGACCAGGCAGTTCCAGTGGAATTCAGGCGCTTTGCCCTAAAAAACGTTACAGTTTGGGTAACTGATCAAAATGACAACGTCCCAATTTTTATCTCCCAAAATGCACTGGTGGCTGAGTCCACAATTGTGATTGGCTCAATCCTTACCACTGTGGTGGCCTTTGACCCAGATGAAGGGCCAAATGGAGAGGTTGAGTATGAGTTGGTGACTGGGGACTCAGACACGTTCATAATGGACCGATACAGCGGGGACATCCGGGTCGCCTCCCCTTTGGTACCATCGAGGCTTATCTACAGCCTAACCGTGTCAGCCACAGACCACGGGACGGAAAGGAAGTCTACCAGGTCTGAGCTGACCATCATTCTGCAGGGCGCAGATGGCCCTGTCTTCTCGCAGCCCAAGTACATCACCATCCTGAAGGAGGGTCAGCCGCCTGGCACCAGTGTCATCTCTCTCGATGCCTCCAGTCCCCGAGGCTCCAGCACCAAGGTGGAATTTTACATTGTGTCCGTGCGCAGCGACGGCAGATCCGTGGGTCGCCTCTTCACCATCGGACGGCACACAGGAGTCATCCAGACTGCTGCTGAGCTGGACCGGGAGCAGGGCTCGGACCTCTACCTGGTGGATGTTTATGCTATTGAGGCCGATTCCAGTCTCCCCAGAACACAGAGAGCTGAGGTGAGCTACGCCTGTTTTTATTTACTGTGCTGCTTCGCTGGCTGGAGAGAGATTCTGTTTTCCAGGCTTTTTTTTTTCCCCCCTCAACCGTTTCCTTTGCCTAAAAGTAATGAAGTAAAGGCAATGTAAAGCAAAGCTTTGTTTCAAAATCCAAGTAAGCAGTGCATAAAAGGTTTCTCCTAAAGCATACATATTCACATTAATTAAATTCCCTTTATGTTTTTATTGCGCTTATAGCTCATATCGTGGGTTTTATTAAATATAAATGACTTCACATGTATGAAGGGGGATTTTGGCAGGACAAGTTAATCGTTCCAGTTCCCAGAAACAAAAAAAAAAGAAATGGTGTAACAATATCTTAGGTACCAGTGTGACTTGTCTGGGAAGGAGAAGCAAGTGAAGTGGATCCTGGGATTAAGTGTAGTCCTGCTGTCGCCGGGGTAAAGAAAATTAGAAAGACTGACAAATAAATAAAAGGACTTTATGTCCAGGCATTAACCAGGTATGAGCTTGTTTTGGAAGAATGAGAGGACAAAAAACATATTACATGGGATTTGAGCGAGAAGTGGTGCTGAGACGAGGTGGGAGAGAGGGGGGGAACTCAGCCTCTGCAGGGAATAAATGACCATAAAATTGGGTGACTTCTTAAGACTTGCTGAATGGAGTTTTTTTTCTTTACCTTTGGTACCGAAACTTAAGCTACCCTTTGAGAAGGCATTGTGTGAAGTGTCTCTTCTGATTCCTTTAAAATGTTCCCTGTGGGATGGAATAAATTCCTGGGAGTCGAAGACTGAAATCCTAAACCCAGATTTGGTGGCTAAGCGCTGGACACTCCTTAAATAAAAAACAAATGTGAGAGTATGTTAGTGTTTCGGGAATTTCAGATGGAACCTAAAATTTTACCTCATTATTGGCCTGTTGGTATGCATTGTTTTTTTTCTTTTTCTGAATGTAAATGAATTCTTCGAGCAGACCTTTTTGTTGTTTTTTTTTATCGTTTTTGCTACTCACAGAGGTGGTGTTTTTCAGGCCTATGAAAGCATGGCTTCCATTACATGTATTTACAGCCCCAGCTGATAAAATATAGCTGAAATCCAACTATAAAATCAAACACATGCACAAGTCCTAAATCATTCGGAATTCATGTTCTCCGTTTTACTTCCAGAGGAAATTTTAATCTGCTTAGCACTTAACTACAGTGCGTGACTTGTAATGGAAAAAATAATAGTTTGATATTATTTGATTACATACCACATTTTATGGGCTTGCAGCCCTGTGTAGTTTTAAAGTTTTCATTCTTCTGAGAGGTGACTTACCAGTAGACCTACTGCCAGTAGACCATAAGTCATTTTCTTTATGGTTCATCAAATATAGCTGCTTGGAAGTTTCAAGATTGCACCGGTCTCCATCTCATCCAGTTAGTACTCTCAATGGGCTGTGTATCAGTTTACTAACCAACCATGTAACTACCCGTAGTCAGGGTAAATGCAGACTTTCTGGTTCAGACAAAGTACCCATTTCTATTTGCCTACTATGGTCTTAAAGATGGATATGCGAGAGTTTGCAAATCATCTTTTACTTTTGAATAACTCTCCTGGGACTGGTCGATGGAAAAGTCCTGAAAATTAAACTGGCTTGTCCTTTGAAGGAATGTCTTTTTTTCCCTCTCTGTTGGGGTGGGGAGGGGGGGGGGGTGAAAAATGTAACTGCTTGCATTACGTCCAGATTTTTCTTGGTTTAAATGTTTTTGCTTTAGGTCGGTGTCTGTTTATGAGACAGGGAGAAGACTTTTTAACAAAAGGCAAGAGGTATTTGTCAAATTGTAGTTTAATGGGATAAAACTATACACTTACACGCCTTTGCGCCATCAGAGGGGTTAATCTTGCCTACTGTTCGACTTGATTCTTGGAGCTATCACTTAGATAGAGCTGTTTTACCTTTTCTGGCTTTGTCTAGTGGCAGATTTAAGACATTCCGAACTGAACTCCATTTCTGACAGAGGCCAGAGGAAGCGGGAGCGAGGTTGTTTTTCGTGGGTCTGGATCTTGGATTCGGCCGAGGGGAGCTTCCACGCTCCTGCCAGTGATCATGGACGTTACAAAATGCAGTGCAGATGGTCGAGGGAGATAGAGGTATCCTATTATTGCTTGCTTCGCTCCGTGCTCTCTCCCTCTCCCGTGCTGGAGCGTGGATGCGGCCTGGCAGAGGCTTCAGGAAACCAGGCCATGCTAAGACCTAACGATCAGCGGTTCGTAGGTACAGCCAACTATCCATCTTCATCGGGGGAGAGGCGGACGTTTGCCAGAAACTCTGCGAGCTAAAGAGGCAAAATGGAATGAGCAACATTGTTCTTGAACTCTCCTCCGGCTGAAGTAGAAGTAAAGGAGGGGAAAAAAAGAACCCAGGCTTGCGTTTTGTGTTTTAAAAAACGTGATATGCCTGTGTGAGGAGGCTCACTTAATGGAGGGGATGGAAGGGCAGCTGTTTCTCAGCCTCGCTCTTTTGAAATTCACACTGAACCGTTTCCCGCGATCCTGTGCGTGAGAGTCACTGTAACGAGGCGCATTAGACGCGTAACTTAGCCCGAAGGGAAACATGAAGGAGCTAAAAGCAAAGCAAAAGGATAGCGGCGCGTCCCATAGAAAGGCGGCGAAACGGGAAACCGTGGTAGGCAGAGAGAGTCGGCGGAGGGTAGAGGGACAAGCCGCCTGCTACGAGATGTAAGGCCAGGCCGAGCACCCCTCAGACAGTAAATCCAACCAGAAATGTGGCAGGAATGGCCATGCTTATTTGAGGGGTCAGTCTAAAGGTGCAGGGTTCAGGTCAGGGAGCTGGAACATCTGTTTACCTCCGAAGTAGGTGGTCTCCCAGAGCAGCCGAAGAATTAACAGGGCACAGGGGTGCACTCACAACAACCTCAGGGGGATTCCGATCTGTCTGCCTGTGTGAGTGCAACAACATGGGAGGATAAGCTATCACTGGTGGCCCCGTTCCCGCTTCAACAAAGGTCACCGTAAGGGGACCTTGTATTCTTGTACCTGCAGTGCTTAGCAGGGGGTGTCCCAGAAGCCTTGGTGTATGCCTTTCTACACTCGTCCTTCAGCACGCTCAGGCAGGCAGACGTCACACGGGTGGATTCCAGGGACGCTCTCCGGATCGCTCTCAGGAAGCGTTTTCGGGCAGAGATCTGAGCGCAGGGGAATGTGACGGAACCGAGAACGCGACAGCTGCCCGGGTCACACTGGCGTTTGCCCGTCTTAGGGTGACGCTTGGCGCGATGGCTGCCCGGTAATGCCGATACCCTCGGATTGTAGACCGAAACTGAACACTCGTCATTACCCGGGGACACGTGTCGCGAGGCGCCCTCCGGGGTCACGGTGTCGCATTCTGCGGACAGGACGTCCGCCCCACCCTAATCCATCCAGCCTGCTGTGGCTTTGCGTTACCCAAGAGAACTCCTGATGAACCTTATCATTATATAACCATTTAGAGTTTAAATACGACTGGGGAATCGTCTCGTATTTTAGTGCCTTTAATGGAATAAATCCAAACATCGTTCTTGATAGTTTAGCCTGCAAGATCAGTTCATTATTAAATCCGTCAAAGATTCCAGAGATGCTGCAATCAAAGTACTTAATAGAAGGTAATAAAAATGAACAAAGTCTTTGTTTATTTTTTTCTTTGGAGAGTGGATGTTTCCGCTACAAATGTTATCTTCGCAACTCATCTGCAGGGTGTCGACAAAGCACTTTGCTAAAACGTGCAGTCAGAGTATGTCTGCTCTGAGCTCATCTGCGGTCAGAACATCACCCTCCCTGGTTGTTTCCTGTTTCCACCTGTGCACATCAGAAGCAGTAAATGACGAGGGGTTGGACATCTTCTCAGGAAGACATGCGATTTAGCAGTTTGTCTTAGAGGGACTGTAGAAGGAAAATTAATCAAAGGCAGACGAGTTTTTGCTAAAACAGAAAGAAGATATTTAGGAGTAGATTAAAAATGAAGGCATCTAAATACCATTCCTTTAGTATAATTTTTCCCTGCAGTTCCATATCCATCTATATTTCTTTGTAGGGACTGTTTAAGGCATGGCTGTTCATTGAGAAAATAACAGCCATTGATCCTACATACAAGCAGCAGATATGGGAAATGGTGATAGATTGGTTTGTTCATTGTATATTTCTGTAATGAACAATAACCAGATTAAAGTTTGCCTTTGTAAGTTCAGTAAGTTTGAGAAATTATGCTTTTTGCAGGTTAACAAAACCAGACTGGTGTATGTACAGTATGTATGCGTGCAGCCGCTCCTGCTTTGAGAGCTGAATGTGCATTACACAATGACGGTATTGTGGCATGCAAACTGAAGATGTTCATTAAACTAGTGATCTTTGCGAACCACACTGTAATGAATATGCAATCTTGAAGTTTGGGCTTTCTTGAGGTTTTATCCTTGGCTGGTCTGAATTTCCTTCAAAATGAGTCAAACACGCTCAGCTTCTTTTGCGGGCTAATTTCTGACACAGATTCTACCCATGGATAAATTTGCCAGTGTAATCCTGACGGTCGGTGTGTTTAAACGGCCGCTGCCAGTGCTGGGAAGCGGATGACTTTAAGCCAGGGGTGTTTGTGGCCCAAGCCACTCGCAGACACGCAGAGGCATTAAGGTGAGGTTCAGATGTCCCACATCAAGCTGGCAAGCTGGCTCTTTGCTTCTGCTTTTTTACATCTAGTGTTTTTTCTTCACATTGCACCTGACCTGGGACAGTGCTATAAAACGTGGAACAGAAGGATAAAATCCTGTCCAAGTTTATACAGCTTTTTCCCCTCGATATTTCACACCTCTTTAGGTGTTTCTAAGATATCAACAGCCACTGTCAAAAATGCCTGCTTGTAAGACCTAAAGTCCCCCTGACTTAGTTAGCAGCTATAAGGCTCCCTCAGCTTCCCCCTGACTTAGTTAGCAGCTATAAGGCTCCCTCAGCTTCCCCCTGACTTAGTTAGCA